TTGTGTAAAAAAAAAAAATGTTTTTGTCATTTTCCAGAAACTTGTAGAAAAAAAATAAATCTTCCATGCACTCAATATGCCTCTCAGCAGATAGCTTAGGGTGTCTACTTTCCAAAAAGGGGTAATTTTGAGGGGGTGTTTGTACTATCTTGGTATTTTAGCACCTCAAGAAATGTGATGAGCAGTCAGAAAGTAAAAGCTGTGTAAATTCCATTATCTATACCATAGTTTGTAGATGCTATAACTTTCACAAAAAGCAATAAATATACACTTACTGGGATTTTTTTAAAAAAAAAACATGTAGCAGAATACATTTTTTTTTTATGACCGAAAAATGTTGTTTTTCAAAAAAAAATTTTTTCTTAAAAAATATTTTTGTTTATAGCGCCAAAAATAAAAAGTGCACAGGTGATCAAATACCACCAAAATAAAGCTCTATTTGTGTGAAAAAAAGGACATAAATTTCATTTATGTACCGTATTGCATGATCGCGCAATTGTTCGTTAAACTAGCGCAGCGCTGTATAGCAAAAAAAGGGCGTAAATTGCAGTATCTATACCATAGTTTGTAGACGCTATAACTTTCACACAAAGCAATCAATATACACTTATTGGGATTTTTTTTTTACCAAAAACATGTAGCAGAATACATTTTGGCCTAAATTTATAACTAACTTTGAGTTTACTATATATTTTTTACAGCTGAAAGTAAAAAATATTGTTTTTCTTCAAAATTTTTGGTCTTTTTTTGTTTATAGTGTGAAAAATAAAAAGCGCACAGGTGATCAAATACCACCAAAAGAAAGCACTATTTGTGTGAAAAAAGGACGTAAATTTTGTTTGGGTACAGCATTGCATGACCGTGCAATTATCAGTTGGATTAGTGCAGCTCCGAGTAGCAAAAAAAGGCCTGGTCAGGAAGGGGGGTAAATCCTCAGGCGTGCAAGTGGTTAAAGGATGAGTTGACCTTTCATAACCGTTGTGGCTTGTAGTTCTCAATAAACTATGAGGGCACTGGTGAGCACTCTAATAGGTAATTGATTCTTCCTGCAATTCAGTAACTGCCTGCCCATACAAGGTACGGGCAGACAGCTACACCAACAGTCTGCATGAGCCTGACACTGCACTCGTGATCTGCTGATCACAGATGCAATACTTTACAGGCTCCTAATTATAAATAAACAGAGGCACATTTTTTTTTACCTGCAAAAAGATGCATTTATTTTTTTTTAAAGGTGAAAGGTGAAATGTTTTAAGCTTTATTGGGATTAATTGGCAACCCCAGTTTTTACTCTGATCATTCATTTCTCTCCCCTTACCAGTTTTATATAGGTTTACCTAATCTCTGTTAATGCGTTTTCGAGAACCTTTTCTTTTTTTGTTACTGCATTTTGTAATTTATTATTTTTATTAATTGTGTCATACAGTGCTACATAGCATGTTATTGCCTTAAATATAAGAAATATAACGAACACTGATATTTCTTTAGCTATGTAGTTTTCTATTATATAGTTTTTTAATTTTATTAGGAATATTGCAAATAATAAATATAATACATATAATATAATACCATTCACGTAATATAAATTCAACTAATGCAGCTGTAACCTCATGTCAGAATAAACACTCAAAAAACATATGATTATTATTATTATTATTATTATACAGTATTTATAAAGCACCAATAGTTCGCTCAGCGCTGTACATTACAAAAGGGGGACATTATTGCTGTTATTTTATTTTAAGGGTTAGGGAATTAAATTTAGGGGGTGAATTATTTATTACATCATATTTATGATTATTTTATTTTACATTTATTTATTCATTTTATTATTATTATATAATAATAATAATAATAATACCCTTAATAACAATAAAATATTAACCCCAACCCTATACCCAAATCTTAACCTAACATTTAAAGGAAAGTATGAGGTTTGTTGTTTTCCCCAAAATATACTTACCTAGGTGGATGCAGCAATGGTCTGATGCTGCATCTGCCCACCACAGGCTCTAAGTGTGAGATTGCTGAGTTCTCACAGTCACTCTGAGCAGAGACCGGTGAATGTTAGTCATCGCTCTCTGCTCTACCCCAGCAGCGCAGAGAGCTTGACTGTGGAGGGGGAGGGAGCGGCTGGCTCAGGCTTTCAGCTGCTAGCTAAGAGGCTGAGCCAGGTGCCACTCCAGACACTGGACAGACTGAGCTTCATCCCACTGTCGGCTGAAAACGGGTCACAGGAGTGCAGAACGAACTACACTCCTGTGATCCACAGGAGAAGTACAGCCAAAAGAGCTTTGGCTGTACTTTAACTGTAACTCCTTATCATAACAAAATAATATTAAAAAATAAATAAAAGCTGACAGAAAAGCTAAAAAAGCAAAAAAAAAAAAACCTATGAAAACAAATGATAGATACGCACAAAAATCGCTGTAATGCACGAATAGTGCGCAAAAACGCTACACTCAGATGTGAATGGAGCCTCAGATTCTTTTACTCTCAAGATTACCAAGTTCCATGAAACATTCCACATGGGATATACTTTGACATTTCCGATATGCTGTAAACACTGTGATCCTCCACTGGTGCTCGTCTCTCCCCGTAGTCTTCTGGGACACATGACAGGTCCCAGAAGACTACGGGACCATTCAGAAAGCGCAGCACTACTTGCACATGCGCGCCTGGTGCCTACATTGAAGGTCCCGGACGGGAACACCGCATGACCGGTGAAACAGGCTGTGGGGAGGACACCTCAGGATTGAGGGACAGGCAAGTGTCTGTTTTTCAAAAGTCCGCCGCTACAGTTTTTGTAGCTGCTGAATTTTATTTTTTTTTCACCAGTATGACTGGAACTCCACTTTAATTACTTCATGCAATTAATTATTTATTTCCTTCTGTGAATTGACTTTAACATCTTTTTATGCAGTATTTATCAAGCGTTTTTGCTATTTGTGGCAAATCCTGCATACTTGCAATAGTGAATTTGACATTTTCTGTATCACATGTGATATGTGGTCATGTGACATAACGCATACGATAACCTTTAGTGAATTGTCCCCATAAAGTTCAGCATATCTCTGGTGAGAAAAAAATTAAGTGGGCGAATTTTGTATAATTTGTCATAGGCAGGATGATCTTGGAGAGGGCACTGGGTATTATCATTAGAATGAAGGAAGTGCATGATAATCTCATAATGTGACTTGGGCACTGCAGAAGAATAAATTGGATGGGTGGACCAGTAAGCATGCCCTTCACTTATTTGATTTTTTGTAATCTCTGTGTTAAATAACTTGAACTCCTCCACTGTGAGATGTCTCCCTTCAATGGGACGGACACAGGATGAACTGGCAGTAATGGCGCTGCAGGAACAGTTAAAGGGCAAAAATTTATAAAGCTACTACAGACAATTTTATGGTACAGTTCATAGAGGCCCCAACTAGGAATGATGGTCTGCTGGACCTGGTAATCTCAAACCATGCAGAGCTTATTACTAATGTACATATAAAAGAACATCTGTGTAGCAGTGACCATAACATGATTTCATTTATTGTTCGCTGTAAAACAACAAGCACATACAGGAAAAATAAAAACACTCAACTTTAAGAGAGCTGCTTTCCAAGACTTAGACTGGGAGGGAATATTGGCATCGATGAACACAATTTACAAGCCGACCTCAATGCACTGTTTAATTGGGTAACTTTGTGGCAAATGAGGTTTAATGTTGGTAAATATAAGGTTATGCACTTGGGGGACTAAGAGTATGCATGCCTCATACATACTGGGGGGGGGGGTTACAACTGGGGGAATCAATGGTGGAGAAGGATCTGGGAGTTCTGGTATATCATCAGCTTAATAATGGCATGTAATGCCAAGCAACAGTTTTTAAAGCGAACAAAATCCTCTCTTGTATTAAAAGAAGCATGGACTCCAGAGAGAGATATCATTTTACCCCTGTTCAGATCATTAGTAATACCTCATCTGGAATATACAGTTCAGTTTTGGGCATCAATTCACAAAAAGAACATTGGGGAACTGGAGAAAGTGTAGAGAATGGCAACCAAACTGATGAAGCATGGAGGAGCTCAGCTATGAGAAAAATTAGAGGAACTGAATTTATTCTCTCTTGAGAAGAGGAGATTAAGGGGGGATATGATCAACATGTATGAATACATCAATGGTTCATGACCCTTAAGTCATCTCAGAGGACAACGGGCACTCTTTACGTCTGAAGGACAAAAGATTTAATCTCCAAATACGGAAAGGTTTCTTCACAGTAAGAGCTGTGAAAATGTGGAATAGACTCCCTCAAGAGTTGGTTCTGGCCAGCTCAGTGGAATGCTTTAAAAAAGGCTGCACTGCACACCCCAGTGGGCATGCATGTGTGGTGACTAGAGTGGGAGGACATCATAAGAACAAGAGTGGTCCCGCCCCACTGTCATTTTACAATACGGCATGTGGGAGCTGGGTAGTAGAACACCATTCAAGGAGTCCATCCAACTCATTGGCCAAACGTTGGCACTGGAGTTGCCACTTACATTGGGGAATGCATGGAAACAGAAGGATCAACCAGATATTTGCAAGAAAGGAACAGATGGATGATAAGCATCTGACCTCTGGTATAGTACATCATTTTAAAGAAATATACACAGAGAATGTTTGAGGGGGGGTTCAATGACACTTTAGTAATACTCTCATCCAGACTGAAGTGTTTTCTCTCTAGTATTCAACACTCACAAGCCATACTGAATAGATAGAAAAAACTTGAGGCTATGCAATAGTATTTATGTCTCCGGTGCAGAGATCAGTAGAATCACTTGATGTTGGGTGCTGCATGTTGATCAATGCATAATTAACACATGGTGTGACACAATAGAAGGATTTATTAATGGTGGATTATAGTGACTGCATTAATTTATTTATAGTGTAAATGATTTTATATTGTAGTCATTGCAGAATAAGAACCCTCAGATTCTAATTCACAAAAAATTTAACTTCTTGTCCAGTGTGGCGATGACCTCCGACAAGACATGCTGACTTTGCAAATGATCCGCATCATGAATAAGATATGGATTCAGGAGGGTCTTGACATGCGCATGGTTATTTTTCGCTGCTTTTCCACAGGCCGAGGGCGAGGTACGTTCAGTGTCTGCATATATCTGATATTTTCTTAATTTAATTCTAATAATCGGTTAACCATAAGCACGTTTTCTAAAGTATATAAGCTAGTTTTTTTTTCTTCAGGATTTTTGTGTGGCAGATCAGACACCAGCACATAATTTATATATATAGTTAACATTTTCTGACTCTCATACATTTCATATAGTTCAAACATTATATGCAATGCATTGCAAACTACACCTAACTGTCCACTTCACTCCCTGAACTAGAAGTGGTTAATATCCATCATTGTACACATATGCACACATTCTCTAAGGCGAATTTGGGTGACAGAAGGTTAACCTAACAATATTGTTTTGGATATTTGGAGAAAACTGGAAGAAACCCAGGTAGACCTATGGTGAACTTGCAGACTGTACACAGATGGTGTTCTTGGTGGAGATAACATTTCTGCTACTGTGTTGGTATAGATGAATCATGAATTCTTGTTTTCCAAATAAACAGTTTTGTCAGTACAGATATGATGCAGGTAATAAGCCATCTGGATGAACAAGGACTCTGAAAGTACATAAAAGGCAACTTGTTTTATGGTACTGTGAGAAAATAATTTGCAATATCAGTACTCAATGCTATATGCATTTATAGGTAACATACACAGGTGCTGACTCCAAAAAGTTATACATTTTAATAAATTTAAACTTTTGGTATTTGATACCACTATGGTGTGTAGGAGCTATTTAATTATTTTTTTTGCCACACACCTGCAACTAATTTTGGGTAGCATGGGGAAGGGTTAGACCTTTGTCAGGTTGTTGCTATCTGTGTTCACTTTGAACATGCTATCTGCTGTCTTGGTTGAGATTCCAAGGAGTAAGGAGATTTTACCAATGTGCACTCAGATGGCAATATAAACCTGACGGGTTGTAAACTTTCACCAGTCTACTCGGGAGATTTTTATGGCAGTTTGTTTTTCTCTTGAAGAGATTCCTCTTCTTGTCCTACTTGCTATAGAGGAAGCACGGGGAAGTTCCTTTAAAAGAAAGTCTGGGCTTTACTCCAGCAATAAAGCTTGTTATTCTTGGCACTTCACTGTTAAAATGGCAAATTAAATTGAAAGTCTGTTTGTAAGGCATGTTGTGCGTTTCCTTAAATTCTGTTTACCTTGGTAGATCTAAACGAGATTGCACAATTGGATTTTTCATGTGTATGGTTAGCTTAACATTTATTCTGTTACCTTCTTTTAGGCATGGTAGAGGTGATCCCATCTGCAGAAACCCTGAGAAGGATCCAGGTGGAACATGGAGTGACTGGTTCCTTTAAAGACCGTCCACTAGCTGACTGGTTGCAAAAACACAACCCCACAGAGGATGAGTATGAAAAGGTAATAGTTGATAACTCTGGATATAAATGCTATATTATTATTACAGGTACTTATATAGTGCCATCAATTTACACAGCGCTTTACAAATATATTGTACATTCGCATCAGTCCCTAACCCTCAAGGAGCGTAAATTCTAACGTCCCTAACTCACATTCATGCATACACATACTATAGCCAATTTTAGATAGGAGCCAATTAATTTACCAGCATGCCTTTATATATAAATGTTTTTATTACATAGAGAAAGCAGTGACTTCCTATATCACATTTCTAGTGTACATTTTGAATATGATGGCTTACAGTTGCTAAGACAGATACTTAACTTTACACACCAGTAGATCATTTAGCTCTACTTGAATGTTTAGATCAGCCTTTCTTAACCTTTTTACCTTGGAGGAACCCTTGGAAAGTTTGCAGATCATGAGAAACCTCCACTAAAAAATATCTACATATTATTATATGTACATTCACATAATCAGTAGGTTGTGGCAAACCTCACCCCTCCACTCTATATGACAAAATCCTCTTCAGTGGTAATCATGAAATGAAGAATAAATATGGTCAGAAAAAAAAACAGTGAATATTGTAGTAACCCCTTAAATTGGTGGCCAGTGTAGATGAGAGATCAATCTACCACTGCTCCATCCTAAAGGGAACCCCTAGCAACCTCTGGAAAAACCATAGGGTTCCACGAAACCTTGCTTGAGAGAGGCTGGTTTAGATCATCAGATGGTTATGACTTTTGTTGATTTTCTGAATAATCACCATGAAATCCTATACTTTATTATCCTCATGAAAACTACAATGCAAAGGGTATTTCATATTGCTTAGTTTTTAAATAGGTTCATTAATCCCTTGAAGATGAACTGTGCATATTAAAATATATAACAGTATAGCTTTCAGTATATATATAAATAAAGAACCAGCGCCACGGAAATTATATAAAACAGTAAGCTGCAAAACCTAGCCTATAAACTTATAGGATATACAAAACTTCAAAAAAATAGGTTGCGCTTAAATACATACAAAAGTGTAACAAAAAAATAAATAATTAAACAATAAGAAACAATATTTTAAATCAAAATAAAATCCAGCAAAAACGGAAAAAGTCCAAAAGTTCAAATAATCAATAATGTCCAAAATAATTCATCACCAAGTAAATCCACCACCAAAAATGGTTAAATAGAACTCACCAGAGCAATATGCTGTTTGTTGAAAAACCAGCATATAGTACTTGTCATTCTGGGAGAAATGAATAATATGGTGACAACAACACTGAAGAAATGAGTGATGAACTCCAACAGATGATGTGCTGCAAAGTTGAAAATCCACTCCAAAGGTGATTTAGTATCCAAACTGAGAGATGATCAGACCTTTGCTCAAAAGAAAAAAACGAACAATAATGGTGCAGTATGTCTTAAAAAGCATCAAACTTTAATGAAGAAATGCACTTACATGCAAGGTGTCCAGACTGACACCAGTATAGACAGCATGTGTAATGAATACAGGCGACTCAGACCCAGCCAAACATGCACATGCTACGTGCAGACAAACCAGGAGTATTCTGAACCTCACTGCCTGGACTTCAATGACGAAAAGCTTCGGGCGGTGCCTTTTGGATGTGAGGTTCAGAATACTCCTAGTTTGTCTGCACGTAGCATGTGCATGTTTGGCTGGGTCTGAGTCGCCTGTATTCATTACACATGCTGTCTATACTGGTGTCAGTCTGGACACCTTGCTTGTAAGTGCATTTCTTCATTAAAGTTTGATGCTTTTTAAAACATACTGCACCATGATTGTTCGTTTTTTTCTTTTGAGTGACGGTCTGATCATCTCTCAGTTTGGATACTAAATCACCTTTGGAGTGGATTTTCAACTTTGCAGCACATCATCTGTTGGAGTTCATCCCTCATATTTTCAGTGTTGTTGTCACCATATTATTCACTTCTCCCAGAATAACAAGTACTATATGCTGGTTTTTCAACAATCAGTATCTTACTCTGGTGAGTTCTATTTAACCATTTTTGGTGGTGGATTTACTTGGTGATTAATTATTTTGGACATTATTGATTATTTGAACTTTTGGACTTTTTTGTTTTTGCTGGATTTTATTTTTATTTAAAATATTGTTTCTTATTTTGTTTATTTTTTTGTTACACTTTTGTATGTATTTAAGCGCAACCTATTTTTTTGATTGCTTTCAGTATAACATACTCCGCTGAAGAGCAAATTTGGTGGTGGGCGATGCTGGAAATTTGAAATTCAATCCCCTGTATAACTGCAGGTTCGTGAACAGTTTCGATTTGTTCTGCTTCTTGCTACCCTGTTATTAGGTGTAGGTTGGTACATAAAATCACATTTGGGATGAGAATTACAGACACTAAGTAAAAATTTAAATTTTGTTTATCTGCAATATCTCTCTAAAGCTTGGATGCACATGGTCTGAATATCATTTGGGCCATGTGTACAGCTGCCCTTCCAACGGAAGCCAGTCTAAGGAGAGGCTTTTGTCAAAGGGACATGCTGGAAAATCATTAGCTGCAAGCGCTGATCAATGTGTCAGAACATAAAGGCTCAGCGGTAGAGATTTCTGCACTAACATTGCACAGTTATTACATCGGTCTCTCAGTTTCTTTTTTTCCTTCAGCCCACTGGGTTGACCAAAAAAAAAACCATCAATGTGTGTAACAGGCTTAAGACAAGAACTTCTCAAACTTCGTCAATCTATCATATGTTTGATTCAGATATTCTGTAAATACAGATAGAAAAGGTTACATTTCCAATAGTATTCACTTCACAATAAGTGTTTCCTTTTCAGGCAGTGGAGAACTTCATTTACTCCTGCGCAGGATGCTGTGTAGCCACCTATGTGCTTGGTATATGCGATCGGCACAATGATAACATCATGTTGAAGACAAGCGGCCATATGTTTCACATAGATTTTGGACGCTTTTTAGGACATGCACAAATGTTTGGGAACATAAAACGGTGAGTATGAGAAATGAGATGTTTTTACTTGAAATCAAATTTACACTACTAACATATTCACAATCCAGAATTGCCATAATACGTTACTTTATATTATGTTGGCTCACACTCTCGAAAATAGCAAATTCAATTTAAAATGTATTTCATTCTTAAAAAGGAAAATAAAAACAAATATATTATTTTTAATGACCACAGGGACCGTGCTCCTTTTGTGTTCACTTCAGACATGGCATATGTCATAAATGGAGGGGACAAGACATCTAGCCGCTTCCATGACTTTGTTGATTTGTGCTGTCAAGCCTACAATCTCATCCGCAAGCATACCCACTTATTTCTCAACCTACTGGGACTGGTAAGCTAACAAATCTAACAGAGAATGATGTTCTGATTTTCATAATATTACAAAACTCTTTTTGCGTTTATTATTCTCTTATGCCAAAACAATAATAGCTATTCAATGGAAATATCCTGAACCCCAAAAAATAAAGCATTGGTCAAGTACGTATGTACAAACTAGTACACAAGGCTCATGGCTGTTCAAGAAAGTCTGAAAATATTTGGACCCCCTGGCTGGAAATGCAATCTTGGTCTACCTACAGAATGATTCCCCCTGTTGTTTTCATGTATTTTATGTAAAATAATGTTACCAGACAGTAATACAGTAAAGAATAATGAGAAATGTCATATTTTTAGTGTAGATTTATTTGTTGTAAAGAGGGCAGTACAGTACAGCTAATACAGATTTACAGAATACATGATATTGTTCATATTACATGTTAAAGTGTGTACAGTATTGTCAGACCTATATGACATACTTGATTATTATTATACAGGATTTATATAGTGCCAACAGTTTGCTCAGCGCTTTACAATATAACGGGAGGCTATACAGCAACAATACAGTTCAATACAAGAGGGATAGGAGAGCCTGATCCTGGGAGCTTGATTATAAAATAACACATCATAGACTCTTGTTAAGATGTAACACTACTTAACCATGAGTGGACATTTTTTGTTTTGTTTTTTTCCGGTTCATATGTAAGTTGCTGTATTGTCTGAAATGCTAATTAATAAAACGGAGAATGATGTTTGTAGTTTCACTTAAAAACCTTACACTTCTTTTCACTTCACTTAAAAAATGTTACTTGATAAGTTTCTCATATTCATTGTAGGTCCTATTCACACTTGCCTGTTTTCATGCAGCATTGAAGAAGCAATACAAGTAAAAATCCTATTATTTTCTATGGAGCTGGTTTACATCTATGCCCTGCAGTCTAGTGTGAAAGGGAAATAGACATGATAAGACACCTGCATATTTGCGGTACAGAGCTCCCTGCATTCACATGAAATCGTATGAATCCAGGATAAAGGTTTTTTTTTTACCTGAAGGCATTCTCTGCATTAAGATTAAAAAAAACCTTAACAGCAGTGTCCCCCAGCCCCCCCAGTACTTACCCGAGTCCTTTATCGATTTAGGGCTGTGCCCAGCTTAAGTTCTTCTCTCCCTTCTCACTGCTGTCACAGGCTTGGCTAAAAGCAGCTGGAGCCATTGGCTCATGCTGCTGTCTGTCAAAGCATTAGAAGAGGAATCGGGGCGGGGCTGAGCTGCACTATGTGTGTCAGTAGACACAACAGCCCAGCTTGGGATCAAGCCCACAGGTGCGCTACCATAGAATGCAGGTTCCCATGGCGGCACGCCAAGAGCGCCAGTGGGGGAACCAAAAGGAGTAGGCTCGGGGCCCCTCTGTGCAAAACCATTGCACAGTGCTCATAAGTAAAACATGTTTGTTTAAAAAAAAAAGAGCACTTACAGTTTACTTTAAGGCCTGTTCTCTGTCTCTGCTTTTAGATGTTGTCATGTGGTATTCCAGAGCTATCTGATGTGCGGGATTTGAAATTTGTGTATGATGCTTTGCGCCCACAAGATTCTGAAGCTGATGCTACAACCTATTTCACTCGGTAATAAAAAAAAAAAAAAATGTTTAGAATCTCTTGACAATGATGAACACCTTTTTTGATATCCGAACAAGTGTTCTAGAGTTCAGTGTATAGCTTCATAAATCTTTGTTTACAGGTTTATGGTAGCATACAGATGGAACTGGTTCACTGTGCTCCATCTCCATTCAGATTTGGGCTAATTCTGCCCTTATTGGATCTCCCCTACTCCCATGCTCAGGATAAAGTGACAGTGCGATCGGCAAAGTAAAATGTGCAGCCACAAAATATAAACCCAGTTCCACTGCTGCTGAAAAAAAAACACTATAACACAATCCTAAAATAAATAAGAATTGATTGCAGCGCTGTGCCATAAATAATTAGTACTCCAAAACAGCAAAACCCATAATCCATAAACCACACAATCAAAGTACCAACTTTACATGAAATTTAAATTGACATAAAAGATAAAATATACTGTTATGGGGGTGTTTTTCTGCAGCAGGGACTGGAGCACTTGTCAGGATAGAAGAAAAAATGGATGAGGCAAAATACCGTCAAATTCTTGAGGAAAATCTACTGCCCTCTTCCAGAAAGTTGTCAGTGGGAAAAATGTACCTTCCAACATGACAATGACCCAAAGCACACAGCAAAAATTACTACATAGTGACTGAAGGAGAAAAAGGTGAATTGTCCTTGCATGACCTAGAAAATACAACTTGATAAAACAAGAAATGTGTCTGTCTTCCTTTCAGACTGCAAAGCATCAAAATGTGATTATTTTAAAGGGGGGGAGGGGTGATTCCTTTCTACACCCATGGTATGTGAAGACTGAATGTAAAGATTGCACATTTGAATACTTTGAGATTGTAAGTGTATTCTATGAACTTTGGATTTTACACTTTATTTACATTTTTGCACAATTATATTGCATGAGAACATGTTGGAGATTGGAGGTTATATATTATATTGATATGAGCTTTTTTTTTTGTTTCATATAAATTAATAAGTGGTCACTATATGATTTTGTGGTTTATGGATTATGGGTTTTGATGTTTTACATTACATTTACATTACCTACCAGTGCAGCCTCATCAACTCACATCAGTGAAGGAGAAAAATTACCTGTTTGCAGAATTTTATACCAGAAACTAAGATGAAAAATTTTTTTTTCAAAATTTTTGGTCTGGTTTGTTTAGCAAAAAAAACCCAGTGGTGAATAAATACCACCAAAAGAAAGCTTTATATGTCTCAAAAAATGATAAAAATGTGTACAGTTTTGCATGACTACACAATTGTCATTCAAACAAAGTTTGACAGCACTGAAAGCTGAAAATTGGCCTGGTCAGGAAGGGGGTGAAAGTGCCCGGTAGCAAAGTTAATTACCTGTCAGAGAATCAGAACGTTTAAATGTTAGGCTGTTTTACATTTTGTCTCTCTCCTTAATCTTTCTTCTTTTTCCCAGTCTTATAGAATCCAGCCTTGGATCAGTGGCTACGAAGCTGAATTTTTTCATACACAATCTTGCACAGCTGAAATTTAGTGGTTCAGATGAGCGGCTTACACTCTCCTTTGTTCCAAAAATCTATACAATGAAAATGGATGGGAGAATCTGTGATATCTTTCTAACTAGATATAAGAAGATATGTAATCCTAATAAGGGATATGTAAGTAAATACCTAGCATTATGCCGAAAGATGGTGAAAGGTGAAGGACATCTTTTATTGCAGTTTATAGATGGGGCACCATAGCTGCAGCATCCACTGTTTTGGTTTTTTTTTCACAATGGGGCCTATGGATACAGCTATTGTGGACATTATTTATCTCATTGGCTAGTGGAAGAATATTTATACTATATCCTATGTCAATCAGTTGGATTTTCAACTCCATTTGGTTGCTATAAACAAGAAGAAACATGTCAAGGACACCAGGATAAAACGTGCATATAGAAAATTACTACAGTTCACATGTAGCACAATCTTACTGTTAACAGTTGCTTATTTTAGATCATTGTTTGTTTATCACAGTTACAAACACCCTTTGTTTTACAATGGCTTCCTAATTTACTTAGAATTAAATATTTATACAGCATATCTGTACATAACTTTTTTATTCATCTTTTCAGGTATATGTGATCAGAGTAGTCAGAGAAAGTCCAAATGAAACCACACATATTCAGAGGTCCTTTGAGGAGTTTCAGGAGTTGCATAACAAGCTAAGGCTTCTTTTCCCATCATCACAGCTTCCCAGGTAAGTTTTATTATACAAGGACATTGAGTATTATGTTTGAAAATCAGAATCTAGTTCAAAACAATAGGACAGACTTGCAAGTAGGCTCAGCAGGAGAGAGGATCGTTGCATTAACATCACTTAGTACAGTGATTTCTGTGTTTTGTTTTTTTATTCGCTCAGCCGCTTGATAAAACGAAAAAAAAAAAAAAAATCAATGTGTGCATACCAGGCTTAAAGGTACATCAGGTGACACTTTTAAGCCAAACTAGGAGACAATCTGTGGGAGGCCCCTGCTTGCCCTGCTGGTGTTAACTGGGAGAACATGAAACAATTGAGTGAGTTATAACTGGTTTGTTTTAATCATTTATCCCCAGCAGCATATGTTTAACTTTCCTTCATACACTTCCATGCGCAGTAAATTGTAGACGAGAGAGAGATCCAGGTGGTACCATACATCTCCTTTCACTTACATCCTTATATGAAAGCAGATTTTAAATTACCTTTTTTACTGGAGTTCTTTAAGTTTAGTAGGGTGACGCTTATAATCAGCAAATATGGGCAGTGGATAACTGTAGGAATCAGGTTTCTTCTATAGTGCCTCTAAACCCATGGCTTCTTTTTGAGGCTGCTGTTCTGTTTCAATTTGGAAAGACCGTTTTAACAATGTGTGGGAGCCATGGGATCAGTCTATAAATGGTACCTCTTTTTCCTCTGCTCATTTTTACTAATTATAATTAGACCTTAATGCCTGGTACACACTGAGTTTTTTTTATTGTTCAGCCCAGCAGGCTGAACGAAAAAAAATGGAGGCACTCATGAAGAGGTTTCTGTACTAACTATACGATGTTAGTACAGAAATCTCCCCACTGAGCTATTGTGTTCTGACTGGGGGAATTGATGCAAGCGCTTATTAGATGCCCATCGGCAGATGTTTTTCCAGCATGCCCGTTCTACAGAAGGCAAACAGGCTGCTGTACACACGGACCAAATTTCTGCTGGTTTATGTTGATATAACTGACATATTATGTACCTTGTTCTTTCCACTGTGTAAACATTGTCCGCCATTACCAATTTACTGTCTCCAATGTTCCTGCTGTCCTTGGTCTATAATTACCCCTGTGACTGCTCTGCACTCCCTGTAGTCACCAGTCCACAGTTCCCTGATATCCTGCCATATTTCCACACTGATAGACATCCATTTTTGGGCACCTGCTTAAATTGCCTTCCATTATACCCTCTACACTCCTCTCCTATACATACCGCTTGCCACCATAGACTCCACACTCCTCTCTTACACATACTGCCTGCTTCCCTATGCTCAGCACTGCTCATCTGCATATACTTCCTGCCATCATGTCAACACTTCAATCCTGCACATGCTGCGTACTGTGATAACCTGTGCACGAATAATATTTCTGTTATCCCTAACCTTGCCTGTTCTGAAGGGGCACACTTTTGCCAGTTATACATATCAAGGATTTGCATGAAATGTTCTATGTAGTGGTTTATTCCTCTTTCAGCTTCCCAAGCCGCTTTGTGATTGGCCGTTCCCGAGGAGAGGCAGCAGCTGAGCGTCGAAAGGAAGAGTTAAACGGATATGTGTGGCATTTAATCCATGCTGCTGCTCAGGTAGCTGAGGTGAGGAGAAATGGCTTGCTGTTTGTATGCCACATTATTGATTGTATTGTGTGTGTCAGGGATGGTTTTAAGGACATTTATCTGATGCAACACCGTGTAATTTGCATAATACTGTTTGATCACTGCATGCAGTGGGAGTTGATATGTTTTTATTGGTTTATGTTCCTGCAGGTATACCAAATATGTGTGAGACACTCTGTTAGACATTTTTTACTTCTGTCTGACCTTGAGATTTCCTCTTACTTCCTGTCTTAATGAGAAAATTATTCTGAGCACAGGAAGTAATGGGAAATATCTCTAATGGGGACTCCGTGACAAAACACTCTTTTACTTTGGTGCAATGGAGAAGGGTAACTTTTTTTCCCCTATTGGATAGCTAAGGATGGGGGGGGGGTGAGAAAATATCCAAGATGGCTGACAGAACAAATGCTTGAGCTGGGGGCTCTTGTATTTTAAGCAATTAGTAGTTTTCTTACAGACACACTGGGCTAAAACCATCACTGCTGCCTCCATGATCATTACCGCGAAGAGCACATGGGAGCTGAAGAGGGTACCATTAGGGAACATACTGCAACACTCCTTACAGATTCTACCACAGATAAGCCCCTTGAAACCAGAGCTGAGGATGCCGAAACCATCAGAATATCCTCTGCATCTAGGGGTTCCCTGGGGCACAGAAAGATGAGATTCCTTTGACTTTGCTGAACAGCTTGTTAGACGTAGACTTTTTCCTAAAACTGAAAATTCTAAATTTGTTGCTATTAAGTGGGCTTACAATATTCCAGCACAACACAGACCTCCTGAAGCTTTTCCAAGCACTTTCAAATTTAATTGCTGAACTTTTGCAACAGGGTTTTCATACTTTGCGAATTGAGGTTTAAAGGAGAGCTCCGGGAGAAGAGCTGAATCCTGACGCTGTGAGCAGCGTGGCTGAGGAGCTCCGGACGCCCGCCTATGTTCTGGACCTAAACAAGCCAAAATAAGCTAAAACGAGAGCCTACCTGGCCCTGGGGTGGAGCGGCTGGGAGGTTGAGTGGCCAGTGACCGGACACTTTGGTGGGGAGTCGGTGTTTTGGAGTTGCCCGAGCGGCGTTCTCACCTGGTCTACTGAGTCCCGCGAAGCCTGCGGGTGAGTAGCAGGGACTGAGGGCTGGAGAC